GTCCTCCGTCACTGCTGTTGCAATTCCACCCGGCACCCATCTCTTTCTATACACATCTCTCTTTATATACACACGCAAGTTTACACGCATAAATCTTATTTCCCTCCCAGCCACCATTCATGGCCAGAAAAAAACCAAACAACATGCCCTGCTAGCCTCTTGCTCCGCTGGTACAAGTGCTCCGCCATTTTCCTCCGCATCTTCCACCTGCAAGTGTTGTTCTCCATCCAAACAGAATCTGCTATCACGTTCTCCACTCTCACTTTCTCACCAATCAGTACCACCGTCCCCTGAAATGAATTTTCACATCTCTCTATAACAAAAAATGCAAGCACATGTACTGTATACATCTCTCAGTGCGTTTCTTTTTCCATGCATACACACACAAACAACTGCATACAGAAAGGAACTGGGAACAAAGAGAGGAACTTCATCCCGTGTCCCTAAAAGGTTCCCAACAAACCCATCCCGACCACCTGCGCATCTGCCAGTACAATTGCCAAAGAATTCTCCTGCGAGCAGTAGGCAGGCTGGTGGCTCTGCTTACTGCAGAGCTGCTTGATGATGCCAGAGTTCAGCCAACATCTATATATATACAATGATTTGCATCATTTTGCAGATTTGCTTCTTTGTTTGCCAAAGTATTCCAAAATGGTAAGTTTGCGCACACGGTGCGATGATGCTGGAACAATTTAACCGGTAAAAAAATACAACGACCTTTCCAGTCCGATCAGCTCCTGCTCAGTCGCATCAGGAGCGGCCAAAGTTTGGTCACATGCCTGGCAGAGATCAGAATGGCTTACTTACTAGGCCTTTACCCTGCCACACATAGCTATATGGGTCTCCTGCATTTTTGTTTAAAAAAAAATATATATATATATATATATATAGGTATCCTGGTTCTTTCTGGTCATATACATGTATATATGTAATATTATTTGGCCTTCCCTTCTGCCCAGCTCTGTCCACAAGAGCATTGAGGTTGCACATAAACGCACTTAAAGATGGTGAAATGGTTCAATCTGAGCTGTGCACCCGCCTCCAGCTCCCTTTCCAGGCTCCGTGGTTGCAAGCTCGCGCCGCTCTCCTGGAAAGAAGACCCAGGGAATATTTCTCTGTATATATGTAGTAAAGCTATATGTACACATATGTATATATATATACACACACATATGCTGCACAAGTTGGGTTTATATGTCCCTACGCATCCTGTATGGACCGATGCCCCCCAGTAAGCAGACCCTGAGTCTGTCTACCCCGTCTCCTCCAAATCCAATTCATTTGCCTTCTGTGAGCTGCTGCTGCCGTAACTTCCGCAACGTCTGGACTTGTTGGTGCTTGTGGTTTGCGGTGTGGAAAGGCCACTGGTACTGGCAGACCGCTTGCTATACTTGCTTCCATCAAAGGTGTGAGATCGGTTCTGCGATCTCTGGACACGCCGGATTTCCAAACTTTCCTTCACTTTGGAAATTGAAGCTAATAGCTGGCCCGCTTCAACGACACTGGATGGTGCTTTGAGGTCCGGAAGAACACTGAACAGCTCGCGCTTCGCGGTGGCATGCGCAGCCAGGAACGCATTGAACTCCTCAATTGTTGATTGAAGCGTGTCCCCCTGAAAGCCGGCAAGCTTGGAAAGCAAGAAAGATGCTACTTCACCAAGCTCTTGGCAGGACACTTCTAAGCTTTGCTCCACGATAAGCTGTCTTGTCTCAGGCTTGGGGCGTCTGCTGAGATTCTGCTCTTGCTTCTTCACTCTTGCTCGGACTCCAAGCTTTTGTTTCGCAACAGCCTCTACAGCGGAACTCCTCAACGACTGCAAAGATTGAAGTTGGTGAGATGCCACTGTGGCTTGGTAATAGGAGAGCTTTCCCGTCCAATGAACTTGAATGGACAATTCTCTGCCTGCACCATTCTCGTCCACTCTGAAGAAGGTGGTTTTGCGATCTGCGCAGGTCACGGCAAAGGAAAAGTTGTGTTCTTGCTTGTTCCAAATCTGGCTGAGCTCTTCAAAGCAACACAGGTCAGGGCTGTCAAATTTTGGCTGCACCAAGCATATCCCTACCACTTGGAAGCCTTCGGAATCGCAAAAGTCTTGCATGTCTTGGTCTGCCAAAGTAACCTCAGCAAGTTTCTCCTGCATTTCCCAGCGTGGTACCCATAGAGCTTTGACCATTGTCGCTTTCTTCTCGAGAATGCCCAGCAGGACTCCAACTGTGTGCAATGGTGCACGTGGGAATGCCACGTTGTTGAGGTGCGCCAGGCAGCCTCCTGAGATGTGCAAATCTGCTTGAACGGTCTTCTGACGCAGAAAGGCCATTTTCTGCTCCAGTCTTGCAGAAGAGGGCTCAAAATGCTTGCTTGTATCCACAATTTCCACCTGGCTCTGGGACAAAGCTTTTGAAGGGAGCAGATTGCACCAGTCGGTAATCTTTTTCTTGCCAGCCGCCTTGGTCTTTGCCTTTGTTCCATTCTCTCCCAGGGTGTCTTCCCCATCTTCTGGAATATGTCCTTCCTCCGTGTCCTTCTTCAACTTCAAATCAAATTCCGGAGTCCAATTCAATGGCCGATAGAGTGACCTCCCTTGACAACCTTGTAGCTTCAAAAACTTGATCTTTTCCAGACGCTGCACCTTGCTGATCTTGTGTCCAACAAATGGAAAAGCATAAGGTGGGGTTGTGCACTTGTGCCCTCCCAACTTCTCAAAGGCGGACAGAGTGTCAATGGTGCACATTCCTGAAAATAGAGCTCGGCCATGAATTTCATTGCCAACAGCCAAGTAGAGCACCTCCTGGGCGCTGCTTGTGAGCCTGGACTTCCGCAACTCGATAGTCTTCTGTCCAGACAAGATGAGCTCAAGCCATTTCTCTTCAAGGATGAGAATCTTGGACAAATATTCAGGTGTTTCTGCAATGACGCCTTCTTCCACATCTGCTTTTGCACTGAGGAGATCTTGGAAGGCCGCATTTGATTCTGAAGTCTGGACATTTTTGGGGTCGATAGGCTTTCCCTTCTTCGCATTCCCCTTGCTCAGCTCCTTTTCCTTCTTTGCCTTCTCCTGCTCTGCCTCCTCCTTGCTCGGCCCCTTTCCCTTCTTTGCGTCCCCCTTGCTTGGCTCTTTTCCCTGCTTCGCCACTTCCTTGCTTGGCACCTTGCCCTTCTCGGCCTCCTCCTTGCTCGGCCCCTTTCCCTTCTCTGCCTCCTCCTTCTTTTTCAGTTGCTTGGCTGCATCCAACCATGTGGATCGGAACCAAACATTCAGCACCATATCAGTTTTGTCTTCCTTGGACTTGGCTTTGGCAAAGCCACTGGCATCTCCCTGCAGAGAGCAAAGCTCAGACTTCAATTCTGCGACTGTGTAGCAGAAGTACTTGTAGCGCTGAGCCTGAATGGCATGGGGGGGGCGCAGTGCGCAGGACACCCCTGCTGCTTACTACACCTATGTGTTCCTATCCAAAAGTATGTTGGAAAATGACATGCCAAAGCATTTAAAATAGCATAGGCAGGGTACTTGGAAGTCTTTGGCAGCATCGCTTGCAGCCATCTCATTTGTGCCAAGGTCGTACTCAATCTTGCCAATACGAAGTGTGTAGTGGCCGCTCGCTACCTTGTATCGCACTTGTTGAACGGTGCAAAGTCTACAGACACCCTGCGAACTATATATATATATATAAACATCCATATACTGTAATAAATGCATGCAAAATCCACCATGTTATCGGGCTTTCATATATATATATATATATATTTGTATATTGGTTCAGGAAGTCAGAGGTGACCAAAAGTTCAAAATGAACCTAATGGTAGAGTGAGCTGCTTTTGCAAGGCCCTTGGGCTGGGAAGGTGGCTCGATGGATAGAGTAACTCCGTCACGTAGCTTAAGCGTGGACAGTGCTGCCAGCAACACGAGGCCCACATTCTGCGTTTGTTGCCCGTTCCCCACACGGGCATGCCAGCCCAAATCTTTTCCCCAAGGCACCTGTCCAACACCCGAAACAGCAGATTGTTCATCTGTCACACTCAAACCAGCCGCGGCCAACTTCTCTCTAGCTGTGAGCCATCTGCCTTTTCCTGCATGAAAGAGCCGCGTCGTTCCAGATTTTGTCATGCATGGTAGCTGCTTGTCAGCCGACACCCATGTTGTGTACTTGTCAGCGTTCTGACTAACTGCAAAGCATGGTGTCCCTGATCCTCCAAATCTATCCTCAAACCTGAGAAGGATGCTCAAACATATATTGAAAGAAACACAAATACATATACATATATAGTCATATATACATATAACCCACAAGACTGGCAAAAGAAAGGGCACTCTCAATATAAAACTTGCTGACAGCCTTTGAGACACTTAGTCTCGTACTTGGCCAGATTCTCCCTTTCTGACTCAGAGAGCAAAGGCCTCCAGTCTGCAAGGTTGCAAGTCGCGGGGTCTCCTGGCATACCAAGTGAAGAATACTACCCACTGACAAGCCCCATGCCAATCGCAAGGACGTTGGAGCTTCGGGTGTCCGTACATTCCGTAAAGTGCCCCCCGAGGAAATTTGGAGAAGTTGGGGTGATAAATATATATATATAGAGAGAGAGATGTGCTGAGGTACTGGTTGTATATATATATACACAAGCACGGGATCCTTGATTCTTTTCATATATATATTATATATATATAAATACCTGCCCAAAAAATAAGCAGGACTGCTATAAGCAGGACTGCTGCAGCTGCTTACAAGAGCTAAAACTTGGTTTTGACCAAAAGTCCTGGCGAGCTTCAGTTTTCCCCTTGCTGGTGTTGCACACTGAGTCGAACGTGACACGAACGGTCTTTGAAGCTCAACTGCGAGCTGCATGCTATCTATACAGATCTTCACACTCACTTCTTTTTGTGACCATTCCTCGTTGGTTCCTTGTGTAGCACGAGCCCACAATCAAGGCATCTCACTTGGCGAAGAAAATGGTTTGACCCGCGAGTTGTTACGCGTTTGTGGCTGCATGCTTCCATTTCAGCGATCATCGAAGGGCTGGAGGGAGCATTGATTGACTCAGGCACTGTTTTGGAAACCGGTGACCAGGACGAGTTGGAGCTATCACCATCCTCCTCGACAGAAGCCAGTTGAGACTTGATCTCTAGGAGAAGACTCTGCTTCTCCATGTCACTCATCGACCAAATCAGCGCCCTGACTGCTGCTGCTTTTGCCCAGGGAAAGAATCTCGTGTAAGTGCTCAACAGCCACATGAGCCCCACAGCGCAAGCCCCGGCAAGTGCGGATGCGACCATGTTAGAACAGCAAGGTATAGTATGTGAGAGTCGAGCTAAAGGGGTACCAACTTTAAATCTTTGAGCCGACTTCTATGCGCCATACAACATGCCAACTTGAAAGAACTGCAGCAAGCAGCTCCCTGTTCTGCTTACTAGTGCGTTCAGATCACACACCCACAAAGCGCAGGCTGCGTTTCAAGCATCCTGCTTGTGAAACCACAAAAAAATATATATATATAAATATATATCCACTGCAATTTGGTGTCACTATGTCGGCATTTAGAAGGTGTATGTATATTGTAGTGGAAAAATGTGCACGTTTCAACTGTTTCCTTGAACAAATATTATAAACATGTGACACGGGTTGGCATCCCTTTCCCCCGCTTCCCCTCTTTCCCCCGCTTCCCCTTACTCGCTCCTTCTGCATTGGTGTTTGCTGTCCGTGCCATTTCCAGTCGTAGAGCATCTGGATCTGTCTCCCAGAAAAGATCTTCTACATGAACAGGATGAAGCTTGGAAATAAGATGGCCTGAAAGCGCATGGTACACGGCCTTCGGGTCTCCAACACGCTGCAGTTTCTCCCGCAAAAAGAACACGTCATACCTGGGATAGCTTTGTCAAGAGGGTAGAACGATATACAACTAAAACAGTACACACATATATATATATATATAAGTCTATATCTTGAAGGTGTTATCTCGTGGCTTTGAGAACCCTCTGCAGAAGACAGAACGCCGTTCTGCTTACTGGAGCGGGGAAGGGAAACAAAGCTTGTTTGTGCAAAACAAGACTCATTCTAGGTCTGGAAACATAGACATTTGCATCTCTGGGCTTGCAGGCTATTTGGAAGGTGTCATAGCCGTAAGATGCCGCCTCGCTGGAGAGTTTGTCGGAGACAAAGCCTGGAACGTTCTCGTGTACTATGAGTGGTGTTCCACGAGAGAATTGGACCCGCATCCAAATGCAAAGGAGCAATGCATGATCCCCTTCCTGCTTCTCTCCGCTCCCAAGACTGCTGTAGTTGCAGCGCATGGAGCCTCCAACTTCTCCAAACGTAGGTCGGATACGGCACCTCGGATTCACAATGTGAGGGGAAAAAGAACATATATGCGAGAAAGAAAGGTTCACACATCGAGTACAGAGGTTCTACAGGTGGACGGGAAGTATATATATATATATATTTACATATCTTTACTATTAGGATGTGTGAAAGCAGCAAGTTACCAAGCATATTTGCAAGTGTCTTCTTCATATGTTCGCAGCAGAAAGCCTCTTCTGCCACAGGAGCTGCTCGAGAAATTTTGAGCCATTCCTCAAAACGTTTCCCGTCTTTCTTGGCTTTGACTGCTAGCATCTTCTTCAAACTGTCTGGCTGGATAAAATCCTGGATGTTCGTGAACCTGCACGTGGTGTTGTTGGTGCAATCCTGATGGGATTGTCTGGCTTTCCCATCGCACTCACAAGTTTGCAACGGTTCCTTAGCCAGGCAAGCTATATACTTGGCCTGCAGCTAGTGTATATCCTAGGTCCTAGTAAGTCTTCCCAAGATCAGGCTCCCAATAGAATGAAAGTCTTTAAAGAGGAAGGGAGGAAGGGTCACTGTAGTACGCAGAACCCCTGTGCTGCTTACTGGGGGCTGGCTCTGGAATCCCTGTAGATTTCCCACCAGTTTGCAGTGGTTCCTTAGTCGCGCAAGCTATACTTAGCCTTACTTAGCCTGCAGCTAGGATAGAGACATAAATAGATAGATTAGATTAGATTGGATTAGATTAGTTAGAGAGATAGACAGATAGATAGATAGCTAGCTAGATAGATGGATAGATAGATAGATATCGTGTTTCTTTTTTGACACTTGCCATGCCAAATGTATAGTGAGTTTTCCCAAGATCAGGCTCCCGATAGAATGAAAATCTTTGAAGAGCGAGGGCCACTCTAGTAGGCAGAACCCCTGTGCTGCTTACTGGGGGCTGGTTCGGGAACCCCCATTGGCCATATGGATTGCCCACAAATAGCTCCAAGTCACAGATAGCAAAGGCAAATCGGGCCGTAGAGCCTTTCTTGCCACCCCTAAGTACTGCAAAGCCCTTTCCGGGAAGCACATTCCTGAGAACGAACTGCTGAAGCCTAAAGTCTCCTTGCTCCAAAGCAGAACTTGCTCATCTGCCTTGTCCCCAAGCACATGAGCGATCGAGTAATGTGCCCACCCTTGGGCTTCAACCAATGACTGTGGGATCGCCATTGGCAGCGGAGGGAGGAATTGTATGAGTGGTTGGTTCGGGTTTTCCAAGCCCTTTTGAAACAGCATATATATATACACACATACATGCATATAAACATAGTATTGATCTCTGATCTGATCACATGGCAGCGTGCCCAATCAATCCTACTGTATCTATCACTATAGCGTGAGAAAATATAGTTGTCCTAACTCTTTAGGCAGTACAACAAACTTTGCAAATCGTTGCAACAATGGCTGCGGTGACATGGAGCATCCGGACCTCAACTTAAACGCCTCTTGAGATAATGTGGGGGGTGACATGCCAACTTGCGCCACATGTGTGCACACCTGGCTGC